TTTTGGGGTTGGGGGTGGGGGTGGGGGCTGGTTTGAGGGTAGGACAAAATAAATTGATTTTTTCAACAAAAAAGTAATTGTAATTTGAAGTTAAAAGAGAGATTTGGAAAATGTTTTCTTTAAGTTTTAAAGGAAAGTCAATTTTCCTTAAATTTGAGAAAAATGAGTTGATTTGGAAAACATTTTCCAAAACAATTAACCCAACCAAATATGAGAAAATTGAAAAACATTTTTCAAAAAATATTTTCCTTCATACCAAACACACCCTTATCATCAATTATTTTCCTCATTTCACTATGAAAATTCATTGAGTAGATATCAACCAAAAACTCCTCAAAAGTCAAAAGTATGAAAAATTGAAGCACTTTCATTTTCAGTATGGCATGTGGGACACATCTTCGACCCAAGTTTTCTTTTTCGTACAAAAGATAATAGTAATACTTTCACTTTTATAAGACTTTAACTTAATGGTCCTTCCATTTCATGACCGAAAAGAATCATTTGCTTTAAATAAACAATTATTTAGCCAAACACTGATATACCTATTAAGAAAATAATAATTAACATAGTGAGTTTATTATTTTATCTCTATTAATTGTGAATTGGATGAATTAAAAACTTAAGATTTTTCGAGAAGTTCTACTTTTTTCAAAGTAATTAATTGAGGACATAATAGGTAAAAAAATATTCTTTCTCGATTTGTCAAAATAAACAAGTAATTAGGAACAACTAAAAAAAAAAAAGAACAAGTAATTAAAAACAGAGAAAGTAATTGATTATAAGTCTAAGCAAATGCTTGAATTAGCTATTGGGTATTTTTGTTTATAGGTTAGAAATCTTAATTTATGATTTTGGATTTTGAATTTTGACTTTTTATTATTTTAGCTTAAAATTAAGTGTTTGTATAGGTAACTTTTTAATTATTTAAATAATACTAAAAAAATATTTAAAAATTAATATACTTAAAATAAAGCAATCCAAATAAGCTCTAAATATACTACTCAACTACTAGGTTAAACATATATATATGGAAAGGAAAAAAAAAAGAGTGAAAATGGAACATTTGATAAGAAAATAACTTTAAAAAGATCACCTGTATAAAAATAAAAATTTAACATAAAGACTTCATAAAATTATCAAATTTACCCAAGATTATGAGCGTGATTATAGTAAGTCATATTTTTAGAAATTCCAAAATAGCTATTGTTACATTGTCACCCAAAAGAGAAAAAGACAAAATAAGGTAACTTAATAATGAAGAATCTTAAAATACTTTTGAATACTCATAAAAATTTAATTTTTTCAATGTAAAATATATGTTATCGAATTTCAAAAATCTATGACTAAACCAAAGCACTTCAAATTATAAAAAAACCAAAATTACTTGACGAAACAGATGAATACCTTCACTTTTCACTAAATATTTCGGGTTTGAATTTAATAGATATATATTTAATGTTATTGAATGTCTATTACGGTTCCCCTGTTGTCGATTGGAAAATTGAGGCATTAAAAGATGTGGGAATTAATGAGATGAATTGCATACTACTATTAGGGTAATATCAATGGTTAATCCAACTTATAAAGCTACAATATAATCAAAACTCGAACGAACAAAATGTTGAATTGAATCGTATCAATCTCTATTATGTAATTATTATCATTTTTGTAACTTGTTATTTTATTTTTCCAATTAAGAAAACGAAAGAGAATACAAAATAATAACAGAATAAATGTCTTATATCTAAATCAAGCATCTTATGCCAAAGAGTCCTGACAAATGATAGCTCAAACGAAATTCCACACTTTTTAACTAGGAAATGTTCGATTTCAAAACTCGAACGAACAAAATGTTGAATTGAATCGTATCAATCTCTATTATGTAATTATTATCATTTTTGTAACTTGTTATTTTATTTTTCCAATTAAGAAAACGAAAGAGAATACAAAATAATAACAGAATAAATGTCTTATATCTAAATCAAGCATCTTATGCCACAAGAATAATAACAGAATAAATGTCTTATATCTAAATCAAGCATCTTATGCCACAAGAATAATAACAGAATAAATGTCTTATATCTAAATCAAGCATCTTATGCCACAAGAATAATAACAGAATAAATGTCTTATATCTAAATCAAGCATCTTATGCCACAAGAATAATAACAGAATAAATGTCTTATATCTAAATCAAGCATCTTATGCCACAAGAATAATAACAGAATAAATGTCTTATATCTAAATCAAGCATCTTATGCCACAAGAATAATAACAGAATAAATGTCTTATATCTAAATCAAGCATCTTATGCCACAAGAATAATAACAGAATAAATGTCTTATATCTAAATCAAGCATCTTATGCCACAAGAATAATAACAGAATAAATGTCTTATATCTAAATCAAGCATCTTATGCCACAAGAATAATAACAGAATAAATGTCTTATATCTAAATCAAGCATCTTATGCCACAAGAATAATAACAGAATAAATGTCTTATATCTAAATCAAGCATCTTATGCCACAAGAATAATAACAGAATAAATGTCTTATATCTAAATCAAGCATCTTATGCCACAAGAATAATAACAGAATAAATGTCTTATATCTAAATCAAGCATCTTATGCCAAAGAGTCCTGACAAATGATAGCTCAAACGAAATTCCACACTTTTTAACTAGGAAATGTTCGATTTCCATTTCGATTTACAAACTCGTGTAATACCCTCCTAACTTCAAATTCAAAATGAAAGGAATTACAGGCAGTGGACATGGTGGTGCTGGGTGCAGCCAACACAATACACAAGTTAGATGATATCTCTTAGCTCAAAACGAATTAGGAGCCAGTGGAACAATTGAATCGCCTTTGTTGAAAGATTATGCTATGTAGATAGATGAACTCGATCTAGTATATATATAAGATGTTAAATTTCCCATACGAACTTTATTTATCTTTTTGAAAATCTAACTTCGTCACTGACTTCAAGTATATTTCCTACGACGTTGAGCCTTCATCATCTCCACATTTCTCCTATTATTATTTCCTCTGCAGCAGCAACGACAAATTAAGGACAACAAAATCACAATCAACCCAATTGAAATGATAAATCCTACTGGGGAATCCATCAACATCTTCAAAATATCTTCTATTGATTTCATCTTCTCCATTACTGCTGTACCTCTTACCTTCAATTCACCTCTTCCAAATTCCATCACTCTACTTACGACAACAACAACAACATATTCAACGTAATTCCACAAAATTCAATTGAAAAATATCAGAATGTACGCAGATCTTACCTCTACTCTTCGATTCAAGACTAATTCGCCTTTTAGTTTTCTCTCTTTGATACAAACTTTTTTCAGATCAATAGTGTACATAAACAATTTCACAAGGTTTGATATTAATTTCTATCACCTAACTTTCATCCAACAACATTAATTATTGGATCGATACAGTTGATAAAGCAACAAGTTGTTGGATTGTAGATGCATCTAAGCCTGTCCCACTTCAATAAATACTCCCTCCGTCTCAAATTATGAATCTCTATAATAATTTCACGTTACTATCAAATACTCCTTTCGTTTAAAAAAGAATGACCTCATTTCCTTTTTAATCTGTTTAAAAAAGAATGACCTCTTTGGTAACATTTTAATTTCAGCTTTCCACGTGGCATGTTTAAAGCCACAAAATTAAAGAACAATTTTGTACATTTGACATAACTTTAATTTAGGACCATAAGATTCAAAAGTTTCTTTATTTTTTGAAACTTCGTGTCAAGTCAAATTAGGTCATTCTTTGTAAAACGAAGGAAGTAACTAAATTCATAATCAAATATTTATAAATTTTGAAATACAAACACATAGTATATAAAATTACATAAATCCACACCATAAGTGATATCACGATAGATGAGATACCTTCATTTATAACTAAATATTTCGAGTTTGAACTTAAAAATTAAACAAAATACGTAGATATCGAATACCAAATAATTATACCGAAATTAGTTTTTTCGGGAGCGGAGATCGCGGAAATAGGATTTAGGACTGCTTTCAAAATTACGCCTAAGTATCCTTACATTATTCCTTCCCGGAGCTTTCATCGTCTTCCCATTTCCGCCGCCGCTGCAGCACCGGCAGAGGAACAAAATCAGCAGAACTCCGATTGGAATGGTGTAATTTATTGGAGCTGTACGGATCGAATTTATCGAGGTAGATATCAGTGCAGGAGCTTTTTCCAGTAACCAGTCCGATGAGGTTCGTACAAACGGCGTCGTTTTCACGACAATCTCCTTCGCATTTTCCAGTATCCTTACATTATTCCTTCCCGGAGCTTTCATCGTCTTCCCATTTCCGCCGCCGCTGCAGCACCGGCAGAGGAACAAAATCAGCAGAAATCCGATTGGACTGGTGTAATATATTGGAGCTATACGGATCGAATTTATCGAAGTAGATATCCGTGCAGGAGCTTTTTCCAGTAACCAGTCCGATGAGGTTCGTACAAACGGCGTCGTTTTCACGACAATCTCCTTCGCATTTTCCAGTATCCTTACATTATTCCTTCCCGGAGCTTTCATCGTCTTCCCATTTCCGCCGCCGCTGCAGCACCGGCAGAGAGTCGGATGAAGTTCGCCCGAACGGCATCGTTTTCACGACAATCTGCTTCAGATTTTCCAGTAACCCATCAAATAAGATCCGCGCATATTCCGATACAAACGGCGTTTTTCTTTTGACGATCTCCTTTGCGTTTTCCACCATATTCATCTCCTTCAATTTCTCAAGTGCAGCTTTTGCTACGCTCTCTATGTTACCCATTGATAATTTCGCAAAAAAAATAGAATCTCTGCTCCGATTATTGTCTCTCTCACTCTGTGTATGTGACCGGCTTTTATAAAAGGGGAATGACACTAAAATTTACTTATTTGTTACTCCGCCCACATTTAATTGTCATAGTTTCAAACAATAATATTTAACTTTGATTAACATTTTACATATTGATATGCAAAAAATTGAAATGTATAATGTAGTTTTAAATATTTAAAATATTGAATTAATGTAATTTAATTTAACTTTGAAAATTAGTCAAATTAACTTTCAAAAAATGTAGCATGACAATTAAAAGTGAACAGAGAGAATAACTATAATTAGTGGCAGAGTTATAATTTTCACAATTCGAAATTTGAAAAAGTAAATACATAAAAAATAAAAATAAAAATCGTATAAAGAGTGTAATTTGAATGAACTCCAAAAGCTTCATATTTTATTGTCTATCATACCTTTCTATGATTCAAATTATTCATATATAAAGTATGTGAAAATAGAAAATAAATGGAAAAATTACTTAAATACACAACACTTTTTTATTTATTCTCAATATTTTCCTACTCTTTTTCTAAAATACAAAAATTCCTTATTTTCCCCCAATTCAACTTAATCGGATACTTTATTAGTTTAAATATCCGCCCGTTATTAATTAAAGTATCTGTGCTGCTATATTATGCATCCGCCCGTTAATTAAGTATTCGTGCTGCTAACAACTTAATAATTTAAAGTATCCGCCCGTTATTAATTAAAGTATTCGCGCTGCTATATTATGCATCCGCTCGTTAATTAAGTATCCGTGCTGACTAACAACTTAATAATTTAAGTATCCACCCATTATTAATTAAAGTATCCGCGCTGCTATATTAAGTATCCACACTGCTATATTATGTATCCGAAAAACACTAAAAAAAAGGATTTTTGGTAATTAATGAAAGAATAGGGAAATGAAGTAATTTCTTTTTTATACTATGTCATTTGTCTAATTTTTACAAAATAAATTATCTAATAAAATAATATAATATAATATAATCCAATACATTATAAATCAATATCAAAAAAACCATCCAAACATAGTGCAAGGCCCATGGTTTTGGTAGAGGCAAGAGATTCCACTAAGGTTCCCTTTTTTCCAAAGTTAAAATTAAAAGTGTACTATAAATCTAAATGGAGAAAATGGTCAAATAATCTCCTAACCTATAATTGAATTTTTAACGATACACTTATATTTTACGAAGATTCTATTACCCCCTTAAACTATTTTAAAGCGGAATATAAACCACCCTAAAACTATACAACCTCTTTCCATGTAGTGTGCACCACGCGTTGCTAGTTGTCAAATATCACGCATATGATAAAATAAAAAAAAGTAGTTATATTTCTTCTTCTTCTTCATTTTCTCCTCTCTTCACTTTTCCTAGGACATGCTTCAATTTCTTTACATGTAACTCCCCAAAACCTTTCTCTCTCTCCACCCCATTCCTCTCTAATCACTCCCCACCCCCACTCCATCCTTCTATAACCCACAAATTAAATATCAATATTCATTAGCAACACCACAACAACTACTTTATTAACTATTTAAACCCCCATTTTCACCTCTCCCACTCAAATTCCACAATTGTTACCAATCTTAAGCTTGAAGTTCTCGCTACTCATCTTATGATTGAGGATGAATACACCCTTTTATTTATTTTTAAATAGTGGAGGATTTAGGCTTTCTACACTAAAAGAAATCACTGAATTATCGGGATTGAGTAGAATCAATTGATTGTTGCTGTTCAACTTCGTGAATTTCTTATTGTGTGTAGTTTAGATTCTTCATCAGACATTAATAAAGACAAAAAATAAGATTTGAAGCTTGATAAATTTTGTCTGAGCAAGAAATTAATGACTTTAATTTATTGTTTTACTACATAAATAATAGTTTTAATGATTATTTGGTGATTTTGATGGTTAATGGTTGTGAGTAATTGTGAGACAAATTATGAAAATGGATTAGAAGATGGGTGAGGAGATGGGGCTACCATAGTGGTTCAACAATGGTGGTGGAGATGTATAGGTAGGGAGGGTGTTGAGTGATGAGAGAGAGAGAGAGGAGGAAAAATGATAAAGGAAAAAGAAATGAAAAAAGTATAGAAAATAAAATTAAAGGCAAAAGTTAGAAAATGTATTTAACAAAAAGTTAAAATATTTTTAAAATATTTTTTTTGATCAGTTCTTTATCTCTCACATGCCTTTAAGTAGGGGTGTGCAAAAATTGAACCGACCAATAAACCGAACCGATAAAAGTGTTATTGGTTTATTGTTGTTGGGTTATTGGGTTAACCGATAACCCATTAAGAATATAATTATTTACTATTTTAATTTTTAGTTATACATATATATAATATATTAAACAAAAAATATTAATATAATTAGTAGTATATTAGACTAAAAATATAAAAAGCCTATGCAATAATTAACACTACTTAACAATAACTCTCCTCTCTACTTTTAGTTATTTAACCTTTAGGTTCTACTTTTTAGTATTACTTATTTACTTTAGTTAGTTTATAATTGACTAATATTAGCTTTTGTACGATTGTAAATATGTGCAATTTGATTAACAGAATTCAGATTGTGTTTTTTTTTAAAAAAAATAAAGTAAGAACTTCATTTAGTTGGGTCTTTTCTTTATATAGTATTTACCATAAGCATGGCCTCATTTGCTACTGTTTTGACTCTTGTCTATGATTTGATTTTATTTGATTCTCTTTATTGCATAAAGGGGATCTCGTTTTATATATTATGGTGATCGAAAATTGACCAAGACTTTGTTGTGATGACCAAAATACAGCATGTCGGTCCCTGTTGTCCCGTTTGTGATGATTATTTCGATGTATGCGTATCACGTCAAATTATTGGATAAGTTATATATTTGTTTTGAAATCATTTTCTTATTGGTTAAACCGAAAACCGAACCGTTAAAGACCTAAAACCGATAAATCGAAAACCAATAACAATATCATTCTCGCGAGTTTTCTTTTCATTTCTTTGTTAGTGATCTTTGTTAGGATCGTTAAGAAGCTATGTTGGACTCCATTTCATGTACAATTTATGATGAAATCTCAAAGTATACAAGGTCCTCCTTACAAGTTCCTACATGGAAACTTCAAAGAGATTGAGGAATTAAAAAAAAAAAAGGCTCCATAAACGACGCCATGGATCACTTATGACATGACATATTTCCAAGAATTCTACCTCATATATTTTCTTGGAAGAAACTATATGGTAAATTTAAAAGACTATCACACATTTTTCTTGTTTTACTTAGTTTGTATTTTCTCTGTTTCTCATTTCACTTAACTATAGGACCAAATTTTCTCTACTGGCGGTATGGACTGCAACCTGATCTAGTAGATAAACATGATTCTTGACGAATCTCTAAGATTGTACTTAAATATGTTCAAGCAAATAAAACTCAGTAATAATTTATAATCACACAAACATCTGTGACTATACATAATCTTCTTCTTAAACTCAACGTCAAATCAAACTGTACATCTGATAAATTAAGACAGAAGAACTAACAAAAGAGTCATAATTTAATTAATACACAAGCTAGTAACTAAACAACATGCATCAATATAAGAAAAAGAGAAATAATTTCATTTCTTGCCAAGTTTTTTCATCATCATCTTCTTCTTTTTGTTAGAATTAGCCCTTGCATCATATTCTAAAATTGAAAAATCATGTTGATCAAACTTTTTCATTTTTTCACACACACCATTCAATGAGATAACAACAACATAACTTGAAGCACTTTCAATTTCCTCAACTTCACTATTTTCTATATCATCTCCTCCAAATTATGTTTACAACTATTTTTTTTCTCCATTTTTTTTATTTATTTTTTGTTTCAATAGATAAAGAGTGACTCTCCTTATATAGGAAAAATTATGTACATTTTAATTGTCAGTTTTACATTGGAGAACTCAATAATTTGGAAGGCAAAAATACTTTGGAATTATGTAATTCAATTAATTGTACTATTTGGGGAATATCAACGGTCTACCTATTGAAGAGTCTCACGACGGATGAAAAAAGAGACAGATCGAATGGTCTTTTCTTATATGATTTTCATGAAAGGGAAGGCTAATTTTTTAAATAAATAAATTAAAAGGGAAGTCTGATTTGTGGTGGCGCCATGTAGGCGGACCTAAGGTTCTCTTTTATACTCCCTCCGTCCACAATTGTTTGGCAGGTATACTAAAAATAGATGTCCAAGATTAATTGTCAATTTAAACAATCAAGAAATAATTAGTCACTTTTTTCCAATTCTGCCCTTAATGATTGTGTAGTTCAATTGAAAAGTTATGTGGACTTTTGGTATTCTTGATATAGTAGGGTTATATTAGTCAAATTACATCTTGTATTAAATTTTCCTTGAGAGATGTGCATGACCTTACCCTGACAAACAATTGTGGACAGAGGGAGTATATGATTATAGTCAAAGATTAGTAAAAATAAAATTATTCATATACTTATTCTATCCTAAATTACCCGACCACACTTATTTTAAGAATTTAAATTTAAATTCAATTTTTCTTCATTAACTTTTTCAAGATTTAGTACCTTTTTTTGAGTAAGTATATAGTATAATTAGAACTAAGAGTGTATATCTAACATCATTTCTCTAAACATTAACATGTCAAAAAGTTGAATAAGAACCTATCTTGTTAAAA